AATTCTTAAAGAGGGCCTAGAATCTCAAGAATCAGACATGAGACAGGGTGTTTGTATTGGTTTAAGCGAAGTAATGAGTACGGCAGGGAAAGTTCAAGTCATTGATTATGTTGACTCAATTATTCCTGCTGTTAGAAAAGCTTTGGTTGATGAATCAAGTGATGTACGTGAGGCGGCTGCTCAAGGTAATTGTAATAAACGGTTTATATTTGATCTGTTGATATTCATTCCTTGTTTTTTTTTTTTTTAAAAAAAAAAAATTATTTATATATTAACTCTTATTTGTTTTATAAAAGCCTTTGATACTCTTCAGCAACATGTAGGAGATAAGGCAATTGACGAAATCCTTCCAACACTTCTTAATTCTTTACAATCTGGAGATGATTCTGTATACGCTCTAGAGGCTTTGAAAGAGATCATGGCTGTACGTGCTAACTTAGTTTTTCCAGTTCTTATACCTACTCTTATACAAACACCAATTACTACGTTTAATGCTCGAGCTCTTGCGTCATTGGTAACGGTAGCCGGTCCTGCTCTTAACAAACGTTTAACACAAATATTAAGCGCACTTATTGTATCTTTGGGTACGGAAACTGATGAAAATGCCATATTAGAGTTGCAAGAAACAGAAAAAGCATTGATACTTTCTATCGATAATGCCGAAGGTCTTCAGACTTTAATGACAATGCTTTTTGAGGCAGTAAAAAGTGATGACCCTTCTCACCGAGCTGGCGCTTGTGATATTGTTACAATCTTTTGTAATGAAAGTAAAGTTGACTATTCGAGATATGTAACTGAATGGATACGTGTACTAGTTTTACTTCTGGATGATCGACAGAAAAATGTAGTAAAGGCAGCATGGAACGCTTTAGCAGCTGTTATCAAACCTTTAAAGAAAGATGAATTAGAGCAAATAGTTATACCTGTTCGTCGCGCGGTTAAAAGTGTTGGTGTACCTGATGTGGACCTACCAGGCTTTTGTTTACCAAAGGGTATTAGTCCTATTCTTCCGATATTTCTACAAGGTTTAATGTATGGTACTGCCGAAATTCGCGAACAATCCGCTTTGGGTATTGGAGATCTTATCCAGAGAACTTCGGCTGAAGCACTTCGGTCATTTGTTACACAAATCACCGGCCCTCTTATTCGTATAATCGGTGACCGTTATCCTCCCCAAGTGAAAGCCGCTATACTTTACACATTAGGCCTTTTACTTAATAAAGTTCCTGCTCATCTTAAACCATTCATTCCTCAATTACAACGTACTTTTATTAAATCTCTTTCGGACCCTTCAAGTGCTCTTGTCCGTTCAAGAGCGGCATCAGCGCTCGGTATTCTAATTTCACTGCAAACTAGGGTCGACCCCCTAATTACTGAGTTGATTACTGGGATAAAAACTAGTGAACCTAATGTTAAGGAGACAATGTTAAGTGCTTTAGAAAGTGTAATAAATAAAGCTGGAGCCGGAATGAATGATTCTTCAAAGAAAAATGTAATTGGAGTTATAGTTGATGGTTTGAGTGATAATTCGGGTATATACAAATTATATATGTTTATAAAGAATTTTTTTTAAAAAAAATATAATTTAAAAATATATGATTGTTTATTTTAGATAAAATGGTAATTGGTGCATCTCGTTTATTTGGAAGTTTATGCAAGCATATTACCCCTCAAGAGGCTATACCTATCATCTCGTAAGTGATGGGAATTAATACGTTGTTATTAACATAACATTTTTCCTTAAGATTGTAAAGTGACGCTTGGTTATTATATATTTAGAACTCATGTCTTAGGTTCTCCATCACAAAGTTCTTTAATGGCGATTAATGCGATCCTTGCAGAATCTTCAAGAATGTTCTTTGACATGGGAAATACACGCGAAATTGTGGAAATTATCTCGAAAGGTTCAGCTAGTAATTTGGTAAATAAATCGTTCGTTATTTTTATTTTCCCTAATCTATTGGCTATCTTTAAGACTTTAATACTTAAATATTATTATAGCCTCATATTGCTGATACAGCAATAATGGCGGCTGGTAAGATGTTGCTTATTGATATATATCACGAAGAATCTACTTTTCTTATCGAAGCATTAGCAACCAATGTTCGTGAACCTGCTACTCTGTTAGGGGAGACAAAACGTTTGTCGTTATCTGTTTTCCGAACAGTTGGAAAAAAGTACCCGCAGGTATTCATTCATACTGTTAATACCTATAAATGTTACTAGAATTAAATACATTTATATTATTAGATTCTTGAGCCTCATCTTTCAATAATCATACCACCTATGATGGCATGTGCTCGTGATCGAGTTGTTCCAGTAAAACTGGCAGCAGAACTTGCATTAGTATATGTATTACAACTCTTAGAAAGCGAGGCTATTCTGCAGGTTTGTTTATTACGTTATATTCATTCGAATTGTAATGTTCTTTACAACAAAGCGAATTTTATATTAAAATTTTAATGTATAACCTGCATTATAATAGCAATATTTATCAACAGTTGATGAAACAACGGCAAAATCTATTACGGACTTCCATAGACGCGTTCTAACAAAAATAGTGATACAAGAACAACAAAAAATTCCAGTCGGAATAACAGGTGATATGGATGAGGAAGAACAAGAAATATGGGCTGTCGGTAACATTGGTACCTTTGCTTCAAATGTAATTCAAGAGTAATAAGTTAAAAGTTATTTTACAATATAAAATAATTTATTAAAATTAAATATAGGGAAAAAAATATATGATATTTAAAAAATTATAATTCTAAAAAGTAATAAATTTATCATTATTTTTAATAGATAATTTTTATATTCAATTTTTTTTATAAGAATGTTTTATAAATCTATGTTTTTTCTTTTATTGGCATTTGAATCATCCCGTTAAGTCCAATACGAAAATATAATTCTTTATTGCTAATGTTAGAATTAAGATCACGTGAAAAATGAAAAAAAATGATTGCAAAATTATAAAAATGCAAATGCACATCCATTAAATATTAAAAGATTGCTAGGAAATCAGGCTCTAGAAATTTTTAATGAAATTTGGATTTTTATTGCATCTTAATTTTTGGAAAACAGTGCAGGATCTCTATAAAGAACAAATTTAAAATGCAAAAGAAATTTTATTATATAAAATTGAAAATTTAATCTATAAAATAAATAAACCATAATCTGTACTTTAAAAATCTTAGATTAGAATTTTAATATCTTTAATATTGATAAAGTTATATTAGGTTAAATTTATTCAAAATTAATTATAAAAACTGAAATTGAAAAAAATATGTGATGACAAATTTATAAAAATGATTCTTTTATTATTCATATATTTTAATTTAAATATTATTATAAATTGAATTATATAAAGATATAACAAAAGAAATACACAGAATATTATAATTATATATAAGTTTATTATAATAAATTGTTTCTAAAGTATTAGATTCAGTTTCTTTAATTACAATTTAAAAAGATACACTAAAATCTTAGTGACATAAATATTTATAAAAAAAGTATTACTAAAAAAAATAGTAGAGTTTGTAACTAAAAAATATAAGTTTATCTTCATACATCTGATGTAATTATAATGAAATAATAAATAAAATAAAATAAATTATTTCATACGATTTTAATATTAGTTTCTAATTGGCTCATATATATTATATAATGCTTACATAATTTACAAAATTGAAAAAATCTTTTTTTTATAAATTGATTCATTTTTATAAATATAAATCAATTATTTTTATTTGATTAAAATCCAATCAGTAGATTAAATTTTATTAATGTTTTTTTAAGTTTCTATTATAAAGATTGTATTAGATTAAAATGAAATAAGTTCTTAATTTTAGTTAAAAAATTCTCAGAACCTGATTTTCCTAATAATCTTCTTATTTTATTATTTATAATAACTACAGAGGGTGGACAAAAGTTTCCGGACACCTTTATAAATGCAATTTAACAAATTTTCATCATATAATTGATACTATACTGCGGTTATATAACCGTCTATTGTTTATTTACATAATCAAAATAAAAAAATTTGTGTTGGTTTTGTTGTTTTTACTTAATTCACTTAATCTCTACCAAATCGAAAAATAATGGACAAAATAAAGAATTAACCAAAGAACAACACGGAGTCATATTTTACTTGACCAGCCCAATGTCCTAATCTTAACCCAATTGAAAATTTATGGGTTGATATTAAAAAAAACATTCGTGCATATAAAAAACTACCATTAAATCTTGCTAACCTCAACTGCTATGTTAAAAAGGCATGACGAGAAATTCCAATGCATACTATTGAAAATTTAGTCGATAGCATGCCATAGCAAATTCAGGCTGTGATTGCTGCAAAGGGAGGCCCAACCAAGTACTAAAGTTTAATATGAAATGTATGCCTTAACCAGCTCTAAATAAAATAATATTAGAATTTTTACTATTAATGCTAAAGAATATAAGTTTTTTATTTGATGGAAAAGTGTCCGAAAACTTTTGTTCACCCTCTGTACTTCAGATTAGGGTATGATTTTGCTATTTGTTTTAGTATTTTGTTGCTAAATCCTATACTATAATTGAAATTTAAATAAATTATATTTAGGAACAAGTACACAATGCCATTGAATTTTATTCAAAAGTGAGTGGTAGTGTAAAATTTTCAGATGGATTAGATTAGAGCTATAAACTGGCTTTTATCTTCTATGCACTATTTTCATAATTTTTTTTAATCGAGAACAATGAGTGTCATTCCTCTTTAACTCAACGCAATTTTATAAAATAGGAGTACCGCATTTGTACCATAATCAAAATACAAATAGAGCAGGATACAGTATTTTATCTACTACTAAGGAATATAGAATTCACTCTAATAGTTCTGGTATAATAAAAATGCTTGATTGCACCATGCTATGCGCCATAAATAATATATGCTGTATCTTTAACAAAAAATAAAATTACACATATTGGTGATAGATCTAGCAAAATTTGCTAAAGACGCATTGCTAGTAGCTATACATATTGATAATATCAGATATTTCATCATTTTCTGTAAACTTTAATTTTGGGTTTAAGTTGTGCTCATCTTTAGGTCTAGAGTCCTCTGATTCTGTATCGCCTATAGCATAATTATCACCTGCATCAAGACAGTCAAATTCTTGCCTTAATGCAATTCTCGAAAGTAATTTAAGATGCTAGAGAGTTAGGTTCTTACCATCATAAATTCTAGAAACGTGTTTACTTCCATAATCTTTTAATTTTTTAGGTATAGTTTTATAAGATTCTTGCTTTAAGAATTCATTAAATAGTCAAGCATTATGTGTTTCACTTTCAGTATAAATAGGATCACATAACTTTCTTGCCTTGATTGCATTCTGGATCCAGGTGAGTAATTCTCTGGTGCATTCTAAATTCTTCTTCATGGAAAGAAATGGCTGAGGCTCAGGATTTTCCTTCTTTTCTCCTCTACTCTTTAGATAGCCTGTGTAGTATCAAGAATAACCTTCTTTATACCATGTTGGAATGTTCAAAGAATCCAGTTCATAGTGATTAATTTGAAGAGATCTTACTTCTCCTAGTCTCATACTCAACATCACTATCACATCTGCAAGATCTTCTTTAGTAGAAATTTTGAAAGTATCAATAGTTTAAAGCCTTTTACTCACATTTACTAAGGAGAAATGTATGGGAATTCTGTCTGGATTAGCCATTCACTTTTAGTTCGTTCTTTCTGAATTTTATTAGAATCTTAGATAAGATTCTTGTCTTTGGCAAATTCTTCAATAATTGCAAGATCTATATCACCTTCTGCTAACTTCACACGGAATGTTGATTGGTGCAAAACATTAGCAATGATTTTTTTTTATCTTTATTTTTTGAACTCACTGTCCAATGATTAATGATAATGTCTACAAAATCACTGGCCTTAGCACAGTATTCTGCCCTTCCCTCAATGGTGAGGTTTTTCTTTTTTTTATTCAGCATGAAAGCGTCTATCTTATCTTTACTAAATGAACATCTATTATTAGTACCGTTAGCAAGAACAACTTTAACACACTTGCGGGCCATCCAATCAGAAAGTAAAGCACTAATTTTGGAAGCATGTTTGCTTAATTGTTCTGGAGTAGAGTCAGCTGACAAATTATGCTTTTCTAGAAACTGCTCTAAGACTAATACAAAATTATTAGCTTTAGGTTTTTGAGTCTTTGAGGTAGCTGTTTTAGTAACTATATCAATACTAACTGTTATCTAGTTATATTATGTGAGAAAAAATTTAATTCAAAAAATTTCCTCAATCATAGATTTCAGGATACCATATAGCAGAGAGTTAAAGGAAGAAAAAAATAATAATATAATTCACGCAATCCTAAAAGGACTAGCTTTAGCCAACATTAAACATAGAAAATATGTGACATATTTTTGAATATTTATAATAAAAGTGAAGACAAAGTTTTAAGAATATTAATATTAAAATTACCTCATATAGGTCGTTTTATCTGCCAATATATTAAGAAAGATAGTTCAATTTGTGGGAAAGGATGCATGAGTAATTTAGGGTGTTCTAGACATTTTAATGTCCTTCCTAGAATAATATGTCCTATCTGTAATGAGCTAACATATTCTGATACTGGAATCTGTAGTACACATAAAAGAATTTATAAAAATACCTGGTGTGAAGGTAAAAAAGTTAAAATGGAATCAGACATGATCGAGACACCTAGCTGAATAATAATCTGATCAAGGTATTATTTTTCATATCTTATAGAGTCAAAAAATTCCTGAATATCATTATCTGTTTTCAGCCTATATAGTGAAAGTTTTAAAGCGTCTTTATCTCTAAAACTAGTACCATTATATGACCGGCGATTAATTTGATATGAATATTGCCAAACTTGTTGTCCTTTAGGCCCTATTCTTTTTTTATCATTTTTAATAGTATATCTGCATCAATTACTAGCAATTGCATAAATTACTTTTATAGCTGATTTAAGATTTGGTGTTTTTACGCGAAATTTAAATCCAAAGAGTAATAAGAATTGATTTTGGATTTTCATAAATCTTTCACATGATTGAGCAAACGCTTCTGAAATAATATTACCTGAAAGAATACATATATCATCAATACCAGTAAAGCTTAGTATTTAAAAAAGTTCTTGTATCGCCTTTTACTATTTAAACAAATATGCCTTTTATAATCAATTGAAGATGGATCTGAAAAATTATGTGATTCCTCTTACTGAATAGTTTCTTTAGTTTTTAACCCTTCTAAAACTTTTATTGAATCTGAATCTTGTCTTCAGAAATATGTCAGTTTTCTAAAGTGTCATAAAGGTTCAGGATTATTAAATTTTTTTACAAAACTAATATTGCATAGATTAATCCATTTGGAATTATCCATATCCAGTCCCAATTATTGTCCTTACTTCCAATATTTCCTGAAGTATATATTCTTCATAAATAGTATTGTTGCAATATCATATTATCAGTGAACGAGCAGGTAAGAATTTGTTTAAGAACTTTAGTATCATCTGAGGTGATATCAGATGCATTAACTATTAATTCTGCTTAATATTTTCTTCAACCGCCTTAATAATATTAGAAACCATTTTCCTATCAACTATAGTACTTTCTGTAAAAATAATTTCAAGTGAAGCTTTCATACTAAAAACAAGGCTACAAAGAATTTTAGGAAAGTATTTTGCTGATAAGCATCTTTAGTATTCAGCCTCAATATATGTTTTGACCGCTAGAGATATATTAAGAGCATAACAATTAGCAATTTTATCTCATTTCCAATATCCTTTTACTGCTATTGGTAAATTAATAGGTCTTAAAGTAGAAAGTTCAGCATGAATAAGACTACAATTTGACTCTTGAAATATTTTAAAGGACTTCTGACTATTATATAAAGAAATTATGTATTATGGATAATCCTGAATTCAATAAAGCATCTGTACAAAAGCTTCGACATGTACTCCTATTTTAATATTGCTAATTCCTATAATAGCATCAAAATGATTAGAAATTTCAAAGGAGATGCCAGCTTTTACAGTACTTGTGTAAATTACGCAGTTAAGAGAATTTCAGATAGCATTAATATTAGTAAAATCCTTTTATCGTTGCATTTTATTCATTTAGCCAAAATAAACATGAGTTAAAATAGGTGAACCATCCAATTTTGCAATGCGAAAGCTTAGTTTGCTAAAGCTCAAGCTTTTTTATATAATATTATTGCAAAAATAATACGCTTGCCTTCTTGAAGCATCTTAAGACCTCTTCTTATAGCCTCTAAACCTTTATCTAGATTATAAAGAATCTTAACAGTTTTGCCTATATGTGGTTGATATTTATTATCAAAAATTCATATATCATTACCTCGATATTGTTTTAAGAAAGCTATAGTAGAGTCATTTGCAAAAGCATCCATAGTCACAATATGAATAACTGACTTTAGCAAATCTTGCATAGCATTTTTAGATTCTCACGCATGAATATCACTAGACATTTAGCATATAATCACATTGACTTCATCTAAAATAACTACATATAAACGTCTTTCATGAAGTTCAATACGATATATACTTTCAACCTAGATGATAATAACATTCTAATTACTTATAGCTAAACTATCCTCAATTTCTTAATATTGGTATACGCGAAGTCCTAAATTCTGTAATATTTCAATTTTAGCTTTAGTCTCATTGGTAAGAGTTTTGCAATATGAAACCCAAATAAAGCAAGGCAAATTTTCTCTATTTTCAGCTAAAGAGTTAAGAATTCCTCTTAAAGCTTTTGTTTTACCAGTACCTACAGGTGAACGGATAAGAGTTGTACTATATATAGAACTTAAAAAGTCTGAATAAGTTTCTGGAGCCTCTTCCATCTCTTTTATATTAATATTTTTTCCAGATAATTCAGAGAGCAAGCAAACGTGGATTTTTTACAACATTTATTAACCTGTCATTCAATCCCTATTTAGTTTTTTTTTTGACTTGATTATACCTGATGCTTCTCCAAATGCTAGTTCTTTATGATTTGGCTTATATTAATTTTACCGATAGTATTTAAGTACAACCATTACTTCGAAGAAAGCCATATAATTGATCTCTTTCATATTTGATTCCGCAAATAAGACATGCTTTACTAAAAGTTGACAAATTCTTTCTAATGTTGCCAATCTCAAACTATTTATATTTTGCGATAACTTGACTAGCTTTTTTGCTTAAAGCAGTTTCATCTTCAATAAGTTAGAATTCATCCTTTTCTGACTTTTCAGGAAAAAATGTCTGTGACTAGATTTCAGAATAATCAGATTTAGATTGAATTAAATGGGCTCTTTGCAATAGAAAGGGAGGAAACTCTAAAAAATTTTTTTTTTGTTTTATAAGTTAAATATTATTTTTTTAATAAAATAAATTCAAATTTAACATTAACTCAAAAAAAATTTTTTTGGTAGTTTCCTTCCTTTCTATTATAAAAAGTTCAAATAATCTTCTAACTTGCGATATCCTTATTTAACTGAAAAAACTGCAGGTCTTTTAACTCTATCTTTCTTTGCCAATCTAAGAAGCTAAAGACTAAAACATGATTTATAAAGCCAAAGTCAATAAATTCAGAATATGATTTTCCAACTCTATTAGCAATTTTTTTCACAAACCCTCTAAGGTCTCTGTAGTCAACGAACTGTGTATATTTATATATAATATGCTAACTGCATTTATTAGTATTAGATGAACTGGCTAAAGCAAAAGCATCTAATATTGCAAGATGGTTTAAATCAAAATATAAAATATCAACACAGGTAATTAAAATTCTGGATAATAAATTTTCACGAGTAATTTTATATTTATCTAAAAAAGGAAGCTCAAGTTCATTAGATTTGGCTTTTACCTCGCATCAATATCCAGAATCAGGCAAAGAGGCAGATTCCCATTAATACATTCATAAACATCAGGAATTCTATAAACTTCAGATGGATGATTGATTACTGTAAAACCTTTTTCAGATACTTAAATAATATATTTTGAATAAATCTCTTCAGGATGATAGGCGCCTAGAAAAGAAATATCATTTTTATTATTAGACAAATATTGGAAATATACATAATCATCATAATCATGCTCATAGTCAAGGTCTGCTAAACCAGAAAAAAGCCTGGTTGCTTCATTTATTGTTTTAAAGCGAGGCCTAGCATTTTTTTGCGTAAGTAATATAATATAATGTATAGAAATACTAAGTATAAAATTA